GCCCCGGTTTAGTGTCGGCTTGCTAAAACTGCTCCAGAGTGTCCGTACTGTAGGCCCTGTCGAGCTCCTCCATCCCCTCGGCAGCCAGACGTGGCGGAACGTCCGGCGCCAGGCCCTCACTCGATGAATCCTTGAGAACCGGTAGATGGCTGGGTTCCATATGTAGAGATCTAAGAGGTTTCTAAGAGAGATTTCCAAGAGGGTTATAATCACCTCCAATCTTCCATATGCACCTAAACAGTTGTTTATATGTGTAAGTGCTTCCGAAACCTCCTTCGGGAAGGATGGGGCTTCCGCAACGTTCCTGTTTCAAGTGGTACGGGTACGTTTTCCCAGTGTTATCCAATCTTACTGAGTGGGTAGTGCTATGACAACAGTGACTGGTCTTCTTGTTGTGAGCCCCGGCCTACAACAAAAAGGGGCGAAGGAGGCTCACACAGGACACTGGAAGGGGCAGCATCCATGGCACTTTGGTAGGGATCCCAATTCTGAAAAGGGAACGTCTCGGTTACGTATGTAACCCTCGTTCCCTGAAGGAGGGAACTGAGACGTCATGTCGCCACGGCTGCTGTACCACCGCATGTAACAGAGACGATATCAGTTCATATTGGATACTTAACTGTGCACGATATTTTCACCCTTTGATTACGTTTGTCCTCTAATATTATTCTCACCCAATAATTAAATAATTGATCTTGAGTAAATCTCAAAAGAGTAATATACTATAATTTCTGATGTCACTTGTAAGATTTAAAATGACTGATTTTTACTGTTTTTTACTTCAAGGAAAACAGCATATAACTTTATCCATCATTGTCATCCATCAGTTATTGGCCTTATATTAAAAAGAATAATATGTCTTCTAGGGCTGGGTATCGATTCAGATATCCCGATTCGATTCGCAAGCTCTCGATTTGATTCGATTCGATTCTCAATTTATTTTTTTATTACATTCAGTGAATATAGTTTTAATACAAATGCTATTGATATTTCTAAAAAATTTACAGTAAACATCAGTTTACAAATAGTGAATTAATAAAAAGAAATTAAGAACCACATGCCTGTATTTTAAACCTATTCTTTTTTTTTTTGTATAGGGTCCTTTTTAAACAATAGTAGGGCCCTATAAAATGTTCTTAATTTTTCTGGTAATCAGATGAAGGCATAAAACATTAATTTAATTTATAATCAAATGAAAATTAAACCCTTTTATTTTTTTTGGCAAACAACGTGCTGCACAACAGAGGTTTACTGTTAAAATTATAATCGATATCATTTAAAAAAACGATTAATCGAAAAATCAATTTTTTTGCCCAGCCCTAATGTCTTCTCAGTCCAGGCTACCAGAAGTGTTTTTTCCTCTTGTTTTTTTTTTTTTAATTAAAGCAAACTGACCGTTTTCTGTGCAGTATCCTTCTTTGTCTCTTCTTCTTGCTTTTTCTTTTCTTCCATCAAATGGTTCTCTCCTCGTGATGTTCAGCTTCTCTCAGCTAGAAGACAGACACAGGTGAATCATTAATAATTGTCAGGATGGAAGACCCATCCCATGTGACCATGCAAGAGGACTATAGGACTATTGTGGACTGTAGGATCTGCAAAATTTGGACAGTAAAATAACAGATACAATGTTTCCAAATCCAACTTTATCACTCCCTCAGTTAAATTATGAAGTGGGCGGAGGGTGTATGATTAATCAAGCCTTTATTTAATGTATCTGGAGACAGGTAATGATTTCTGAGACCCAACCTGAGGCCAAATTGAGGGCATCAGTCTCTATGGTAAGTCTAGTTAAGTTCAACACTGCAGTGACCCAAATCCAATACAAAGGCCTTGGTAAAACCCTGAACGTGCATTGATTTGACAAATTGATTTTGCTACAGGGGTCCATCCACATTTTGTCAGTGCCAGTGGGTATCCTGACTTCACTTATCTCACTCATGCACAGTTTAGAAAGCATGACCTAGCCAAGTGGACAGACGATCCTCATCTTTCCAAATGAAAGACTGTGCACAATATATTACACCCTAAATCTAAATGCATTTTCCACCCAACAACACACAATGAGATCTCATTCCACTGACAATGCAAACATAAAAGTCACAAGTCAGGTATTAATTCATAAACATACACAAACTATCATACACCAAAAACAATGGGGAAGGTGTCCTGTTGTGTTGCCAGTTTGTAAAGGGAAAGCTGTCAATCAGTGAAACTGCAAGTGACAACAGTGCATTGTACTTAGAAACAACGCACTGGCAGAGAGCCATGGTATGGCTGGACTAACGCTTAGAGTTGCCAATCAGCTGTCCTGATTTACCCTCTGGCTCAAACCCCTTCCATTGGCTAGTAAACTTATCCCCACTTTTGCTGTCCAATCAGAACGCAGGCGTTTGAGCGATTGCCATTCACATTACCTCTTGGCAGAGGTCCAGAGCGAGAAGATAGGAAGCCACAGTGGATCATGTTGAAATTACCCGGTGCATTTCGTAGAGGGGGACACTGAACGACTTTATAAATATCCCACACCCTTTGTGTGCTGGAATTTTCCAAAGCCTACCAGTTCAGCTGTTCATAAAATATAACCATCTGCTCCAGACAATCGAGCTGATACAGTCCCATCAGGACTTGTGTAAACATACTGTGTTCTTTGATTCTGATCAATTTGTTTTTAATGGCAAGAACATTCAATAATCCATTTCTTGGCACAGATTATTATTTACTCCAGGTTTTACTTGCTCAAACTCTCAAATAAATGTAAAAATACATTGTCTCTGATGTGTTCAGACATATTTTAATCAATATACTGTAAATATACTCAATTGCATACAGATTCTTTTTATATTAATATAAATATTTTTGAGGTTTATGTTTTTTTCCCCCAATCAGAAGAACCATCATTACATCATTACACAATCTAGGGCATTAATTCTACAGCAAATTATCAAGTCAAGTTTTTCAAGTCAAGTTGTTTTTAAAATTATGTTTAATTTTAATTAATTATGTTTAATAGTTAATGAAATTATTTAATTTAATTATTAATTAACTATTCAAATTATGTTTAATAGTTTACAATTTTACATGACCTAACAACACTGAACCCATGACCCTCCAGGAAATCCCTTATATGGACAAAGGCATAGCTATTATACATGTAACTGAGTAAACAGAACATATAAACGTTTTGAATGATAAAACAAAGACAATAAACACTCGGCTGCGACAATGTATAGTTTATCTGTGTTATTCAAGCCATCTAATTTTCATAATAATTAAGTATATTTATAATCCATTTCTAATCGATGTATTCTTTTTAAAGTAGCCTATGGAACATATTTTCTGCCTCATTGTGTGACAAGAAGCCACATCAGATCACAAAAGGAAGCATTTGACTGGTGTTGTGGAGTAAAAAGATTATAATTAGGGCTGGGTGATATAGCAAAAAAATTTATCAACTATATAATGTTTCATATTGTCCGGTATCAATAATTATTGACATTTTTTATAACCTTTTTTAAAACAAAGAGCAATAGAATTTTTTATTTTTATTTAACCACTGTATTTTTAAATTAACCCAATTTATTGAGACAAACAACAAATATTTTTTTGTTTTAACAATCAAACACAAAATAAAAATTAAACAAATATCTAATTTCTAATGGTTTATATGCAGATTAAATAGGTCTTAAGGAAATTTTTGTCTTATCTCCCGAGGCCACAGGAGGGCGCAATGAGCAAAATAATAGCGCATTTAAATTGTAAACGCAAGGAAATAACTGTCTATAAAAAAACGGGCATTACGTCTAAATTAACTAAATATAATTTCGTAAATTGCATAAACAATTATGAACAAAACAGCATCATGTATTTATGCATTGCTTAAAGGGCTAGTTCACCCAAAAATGAAAATGTAATGTTTATCTGCTTACCCCCAGGGCATCCAAGATGTAGGTGACTTTGTTTCTTCAGTA